CTGTGATTTGGGAACACCAACTCACTCCCAGCTCGCCACATGTGGACGCTTGGTCAGGGCCCTTTGGTGTCGCCTTTTAACGACCTGTCTACCCCTTTCGCGTCATTTATTGACGTTTAGGGCTCCGCGGTCAAGTTAGCAACGCTTAGCAACAACAAATATGCAACTTCTGGTTAGACTTTAAAAATAAAACGCTAGTGTTTCGAAACAGATTTGTTGTTTTGATGATTTATTTTATCTCACTCTCTCCTTCCTCGAATTACACATTTGAAGACACATTTTTTGTGAATGTTCCCCTTTTTAACATCTTACTTCAGATGTTTTTCCTATTTTTAAATGGCTGTATGAACTCACCATTTGATGAACTTACACATACAATTATACAAAACAAACATTTCACTTAAACATGCCGTTAAGACAGTTACAAGGTCTAAAAATGATCCAGGGCATTAAAGAGCGACGCCAAAGGGCCCTGATCAATATGTGACGACTGAGAATGTGTTGGACTTTGGCTCAATCTCCACCCTAAAGGCTACACCCTGAACCCTCACAGACTTAGTTGACGTCCCCTGGTCAGTGATGGAGGCTGCAAGGGCCTGAAATGGTAAAATGGGACAGCACCGCATTTTGCAACCTATCATCTTATGTTCCCTTGACTACGGCAAAGTAAATTGTCGGTTCAGGACTTTTTATTTTGCATTTTTTACTTTCTTCACGGCTGAGGCCCTGAAGTCTGGCTGTCTGATTTCAACGTGTTCTAGGCTCTGGCCAAGTAAAGTGATTATTTGAAAATTACCTAGGAATAAAATGTAATTTTTCAAATAATGAATTTTTCTCCTTTTTACCAAACAGCATCGTACACTTAGATGCGAACTTCTTTTTTCTCGTTTTTTTTTTTTTACGCCGGATTCCCCTGGTGCGTTATGAACTGTGGGTAAATCCCTCAGGCAAAGTCTGCAGAGATGCAGACTTAAGGAAAGTCTGCGAGAGAGCACCCATGCGCTTTTGACAGCGAATGTGCCTTAAAGTCCGTGAGTCCGTGACTGTGGAGGTTGGGATTCAGCCAATGTTACCGCATGCCTTTGCTTTCAAGCCTCTGAAACCTGCACCTTTACCTGTACCTGCCTTCCTCTTACCTGTCCCATTCCTGTTCACTTTGTGGATTCTCATTAAGTTTATGTATCTGCATTTTTTCAATGAATAAATTAACTATTCCCGTCTGTCCTTTCCCTGCTGCCTCGATGAATCAGGCTTTTGTTGCTACGAGCGGTTATTGTAAGAAAAGTTAATGAAGTACGTTGTCAGCGAACATTTTCAGACTTTCATTACCAACATTCCCTCATTATGTTGATTAAAAACAAACTCTGGGCAGCTTTAGACTCCTAACAAAACATATTACCGGTAGCAAATTTGTAGACTATAATCATAATTTCTGGGCTGCGCGCAAGCATAATGGACCTTTTTATCTTTTCTTTTTAACATTTTGTTGATCACAGCCTGCAAATCTTGATCACCACTCATCCTGTTTGTGGTGTTAATGTCTATGATGACTTTCAGTACACCTTTAGTGTCGTTCTTGCACGTGCAGAGCTCTGCGGTCAAGTTAGCAATAATAAGGGGTCTTCACCAAGTGTCCATATGTGACGACTCGGGCGAGAGAACATGTTGAAGGAACACCGGGTCACACCGGTTGGCAGGTTGACAGCCAAAACTACAAAAATAAAAATCTGTGCGCTGTTTGTTGCCTCCGTCACGTTGTCAGCGCCCCTGGCACACACTGGAAGCAGACACACAGTAAATGTTTTCTTTGTGTACAAGTCATGTCCTGGTCCTTGAATTTCCTCAGTTACCCGTGTTTATGGTGTGTTTTTCCTCCCATCAGCCCGTCGTAGTGTGTCAGCAGCTGAGAGTTACAAGTGAAAAATCACGCAGAGAAGGGCGAGACAGCTGTTGTGGCACAGAGTCTAATGAGGTGTGTGTGTGTTACTTCCTTCCTACTAGAAGCCAACCTTGAAACTGACAGACAGACAGACATCCTCTGGTCTGTCTGTCTGTCTGGTTGGGGATATCACTGAATCATTGAAAACATTTGTCATGCATTATATACAGGCTGAGAGAGAAAAAGGGGGAGAGAGACTCAAAGTAGAGTTTTTTTCCCCTGAAACTATTAATGCTACACTGAAGTCCAACCCATCCGGCTCTGGCAGACATTTTCTGTGATGTCTAAAGTTAAAGCTGCACAAATCAATATTTTTATTTCAACAATGGATCAAATGACCACTTCTTAAAAGAGAATAATCACAGACTCTGCAGTTCCACAAACCTCTACTGAAGGTTTGTAGCACCTTTCAGCTCGGTGTTTTAGTTTTCCCGGAACACAGTGTTCCTGTTCTGGTTCACTTACAGCGTTGTTTTCAGAGCAGAAGCTGTATGAAGCCGCTGTACACGACCTCGAACCACAAAACAACAGACACAGTTACAGAGCAGCTGGTGAACATTGTGAAGCATTTAGCAGCTACGGAGCCAGATAATTTCCCTCAGGAGCTGGTGGAGACCAAACACAGAGCTAACAGAGAGAAAATACTGGACTCACCTTCATCAGGTGATGATACATCACATACAGTTCAGGTTTTTGCACAAATTAAACAAATGATATGTTAATCGCTGAGCTTTGAAGGTGCTGGCAGGTGGATTTTGTTTGCTTTGCACAGAGCCAGTCTAGATGTTTCCCCCTGTTTCCAGTCTTTATGCTAAGCTACATTTACATTTACTCACTTAACTGACGCTTTTATTCAAAGCGACTTGAAATTGCTAATTATGTCAGAGGTCGCACGCTTCTGGAGCAACAAAGGATCAAGTGTCTTGCTCAGGGACACAATGTGTCGCAGTGGGGAATTGAACCCGGGTCTCTCGCACCAAAGGCAAGCGTCTTATCCACTCCTAGCTAAGCCAAGCTAAGCTGACTGGCTGTACTTAAGTACTTAAGTAATTTGACCTACTCGTACTTTGATTCTCTTCTCCGCTACACCTGGGAGGGAGATATGGTACTTTTTACTTCACTACATTTATCTGACAGCTTTAGTTTTTTTGCAAATTAAGATGAATTCACATAAAAAAATATGAAGCGTTTTAAAAAATATGACGTTTTGTTGCAGATTAAACTTCCCTAAAGTTTATACAAGTACAGCTGAAATGACTGATAGATTAGTCAAATAACAGATAATTAATTGGCAATTATTTTGACATTTAAGTCATTTTAAGGTAAAAACATTTGATGGTTTCAACTTCTCACATGTGAAAATGTGTTGCTTTTCCTCTGAATGACTGTAATAAATGCAGTGTTTGGTAATGACATTGAGGTTCGGAGACAAGCGTTGTGGAGGGGTCGCTCCGGGTGGGGTTGCACTATATTGACAAAATGTGATATTGATCATTAATATTGCAATAACGATTAACTATAATTTCGATATTCTTAAACATTATGTAAAAACACAAGTTGATGGGCCCTGGTTTCCCCTTCACTCTCAGTGGGTTCATTGTCTCCATGAGCCACTCATCTTCTTTCTTTTCTTTTGCTTGTCTGACTCTCTTTGCTTTTCTTTTTTTCATTTCTCTCTCTCTTCGCTTACATGCTGGTGCTCCATAGTGTACGCTTGTATAAGTGGACCCAGTGGCAGAATCTTTACAAACCAAAATAATCAATGGTTTCATGGAGGAAATAATCAGCAGATTAAAATCATCCTCAGCTGCAGTCTGATACTAAACAGTTGAGATTGAGCTCCAGCTCAACAACTACAGCAGCTACACCCTGCTTTACATTAACGAGGAGGAAGAGGAATCTGAGGAGAGAATATATTATAGTACAACAGAGTAGTTTTACATTTATACTTATAATAATAATCGCAATATAATTTTTCTCATTAACAATATACCACATGTTCAATACATGTTTGATTTGAATCATATTTATTCTGTTGAGGAAAAGGGGTTATCATAGTGCTTTTGAATGTTTGTTCATTGATCCATCAAGTGTTTGTTCTGACCATAGAGAAAAGTTTAAAACCACAAGTAACCATCAGGTTTCTTCAGCTTTCACTCAGGAACAAAAATCAGCCTTTTAAACTATCCTGCAAATTATCGACATCGAATGATGTGAATTTTTTATCGTGAAATCATTTTTGGCCATATGGCCCAGCCCTATATGACAATGACATGAACAAGGGCGTCACTGTGTTGAAAAGTGGTGGGGACTTTTAAGGGCTCATATTAAGGGTGTGACGAAACACTCAGTCCATGAGACGTGACAATACACAACATTGGAGTCACAAGAACAAGACAAAAAGATACTTCACTGCTATTTAGAAGAAATATTCATTGATGAAATAGGGTATTTGATTGATTTTGAGACATTTTCTGCGCTAATTTATGGTGGAAATGTCTTTATTTATATTAAGGGAAATAAAATTCAGGTGACAATTCCGAATATAAAATAATATCGAATATGATGCAGTAATCAGCCGCTTGTTTTTTTAGCCCAAGTTACTTTTTTGGACAATGCAGATCTGTTTCTTCTATATTTACATTGCATTTCATCTTTTCCTATTGTGCTCCTTTTTCATATATTTTTTATTTGTTATGTAACATTTGTTGTTGCAAGCTAATTTTACAAAACCTTTAGCAAATTCTTTCAAAAAGTGGTGGGGAGACGTCCCCTGCGTCCCCAAAGACACCTTTAGACATGAATTAATATTCAGCATCAAATCAGTAAAAAGGACCAGTATTTTCTGTTTCTCTCAGCATTTATCAGCTGCGGTATGTTCAGTTGACTCTAAAGCTTTAGATTGCAGTGGATTTATATGTGAAATACAGCTACTTAAACAGATTACCAGCTCAGGATGATATGGATACGTCAAACCTGCACCACCAACACCAACACCACCCCTGCAAACATCCAGCCAGTAAATCTGCACTACATGGGACAATGTTATTTTGCCTCTCTCTCTCTCTCTCCATCTTATGTAAGTGTGTCCTGGTCTTACTGCAGCCCACAACAGTCACCCTGACACACATGCATGCACTCTCTCTGAGCAAAAGTTTCATTATCATTAAGGTCAGGTCTGTGTGTGTGGAGGGGGTGGGCGGGAGAGAGAGAGAGAGAGAGAGAGAGAGAGAGAGAGGGCAGAGGAGTCCGCGGAGGAGAAAAGGAGGACAGATCGGAGGCAGAAAGCAGGAGGCGCTCCTTGCAGTCAGGAGGATGCTGCTCTGACACGCGGATCGTCTCTGATCCTGACCGCGACCTGACCGACTGACTGCAGATCAGCCAGCTGACAGACCCGAGAGCTCGTCTCCTGCACAGTTTCTCCTGCTGTACTCTCATTTGTATATATATATATATACACCCTCTCTCTCTCCCCTCTGGACCGGCTTTTGTCGCCATGCCACCGGCCGCCTGCTCGGTCGGGTACCGACTCCGCATCACCTTGTCCGCGGTGCTGTGGATCGGGCTGCTGTGGAGCCGCGTCTCAGCAGGAGGTACAGTCTCATTTTGTGTTCTCGTGATCAAACCAGCCTGCATGTTGTTTAATCTAAACCCCTCTCGTCTTGGCTTCTGACCAAGCAGCTTTATTAGTTCAGCTTTTTTAGATTGCTGCAAAAACAACTCGCCTCTCTGGGCATCCCTGTCTTGCGTGGAGACATCTCCTCCCCGCGACTCGTAGGAGGAGGTGGAGGAGGAGAGAGGGGGTGTCTGAAGCAGCCTTTGAAGTCTTGAAATAAACGCTGTTGCGGGCTATTTATTTTCCAGTTTGGCTGCTCAGCTTTCCTGAGAGAGTGCATGTGGACCGGAGCCCACTCGTGTGCGTGGGAGCCTCGATCAGGATGCAGGGAGAGATCACCTGTCAACAAGCTCTGCAGTTAGACCGGTTCTCACGCACGGAGTGGGAGACAGGTGTGGTGGTGGTGGAGGGGATTCCTTCAGTTTGAGAGCATCAGTGGGGAGATTACAGATCAGGCTGACAAGACAGAGAAGAAAGGAAAGTTTGAAACATCAGTCAGTCCATCAGTTGGACAAACGCTTTTAAAAAGATGTGGTGCCACTTACTGATCAATTAATTTGATGGCTTTATTATTGCTTCATTAATTATTTACTAATGCTTTATAGAGCCATTATGAGGTTGCCAGATTGTAGAAAATCCTCCTCCATCGCTGGTCTTCCTGCCCGCCACACAAAAACAACAATAAATATAAAAACACTAACAAAACAACAATTTCTAATCACATAGTATCAATACTATGGAGGGATTATTTGGTCAGAATTAAAACTAAAAGTCTAAAACTAAAAGTCTAACAAGAAGAAACACTGATACTACTTCAATTCCGCCAAGCCGTAAATATAGGAAAATAAGTGAAATGTGTAATGAAAACAACAAAACAAACAAATGGAGGCAAACGTCGTCAGCTGGTTGACCTTTTGTGTGCAAAATCAAACTGTGGATGAACTCAAGACTGAGAAAAGGGAATCAGCAGGGCGAATCTGACCCAAAATCGTCCCAATCTATTATGCAGCCAACCAGAGCTCATCTGACGTGTATTAGGTTATACCTCTGACAAAAACCTGTGTGGACTAGTTTTTCATAAACGAAATGTGGTGTATTATTTCAGAAGATTTTAACCTCTACAGTCAGACATGATGAGAGTTTATCTCGCACATTAATTTGGCTGCTTTGGTCTGAAGGGTTTTTAGATGTTTCTCAGTAGCACCTGACTGGACAGACTCAGGTGTGACAGAACAGGTGACCGACCAAAAACATATGCAGATCATTTCCCATCATCCATGTGATCAGACCATATCAGTAAATTATCTAATTTAACACCCAGTAATTTGGTCTCAGGGAGCTGCTGAACTGACATCCATCAACATTCCTACCACGTACACTGAGTTCTGATATTCACTACTAATTTCTTCATTCTCACCTAGTTAGTAAAAACATCTCAACATGTAGATTCTCTCTCAGCTCCTCTAATGTTGGTGAAGCACAGAACAAGGTTGAGTCATCTGCATACGATTGCATTTTTTTAAATAACGTATACGGTAAATAATTTATAAAAATTTAAAATAAAAGTGGACCCAAGTAGTTTCCTTGTGGCACACCACATGTAATTATAATGCGTTCTCATCTCAGTGCGCCATTACCGACACTTTCAGACAATGTGACAAAGTGGAAGGGTAGATAGCTAGCACTTTCGGTTGTGTGAGACGCCCCAGAGCGTCTCATAGAGACGCTAAAAGGTACCTTTCGCGTCAAATATCTACGCTTTGTCACTTTTTCTGAAAGCGTTGGTATTGGACGCCCTGAGATGAGAACGTTCTGGATATTACAGTTTATAAAAAATAGAGAATGGCCCTTATAAATGACCTGCTAACATTTATAAAGTCAGCCGTGATGACTTATTAGAAAGTGATCCTTTATGAAACCGTTTATTAATTATTTACGGACATTTACGAAGAATTTTCCAGATACATTCGCTAACATAAAACAACAAAGAAAACAAGTGTCGTGCTGGAGGGTGATTTCCCAGCTGTGGCTCAGGAGGTAGAGCAGGTTGGCCATTAATTGGAAGGTCGGCGGTTCAATCCCGGCTCCCCCCAGGCTGCATGTCGAAGTGTCCTTGGGCAAGATACCTAACCCCGAATTTCCCCTGGCGGCTGTTCCGCCAGTGTATGAATGTGTGTGAATGTTAGTTTCTGTCTGAGCACTTAGACTCAGTGAGTGAATGGTGAATGCAGATGTAGTGTAAAAGCGCTTTGAGTGGTCGAAAAGACTAGAAAGGCGCTATACAAATACTGAGCATTTACAACCTGGCAACCCAAAATTTGCTGTTATTATAAATAATCTATAGCATTAACGGTATTGTATCAGCCTTTTAGTTCAAGCAGCTTATTTGAATCCAAAGGAGTAAGTCAGATGACGTAGTATAAAGAGCGAGAAACTCTGTGTAGGGAGGTGGATGGGGTAAAAAGAATGCTTCAGGACTTTTGTTGAAGAGTCATAATCTAAGGGACGGCTGCAGGAAGTCTTTGACGCTTGAAAGTAAACAAATGTGATTTTTGGAGATTTGCTGAAACAACCAATGCTGTTTTTCTGTATAATGTCCTCTGTGGCTTTGTCTTTTTTTGTTGTTGTCAGGGTTATCTGGTCTTGTACTTGGATACTACAAAGTTATGACAGAAAGTCTGCTGCCGAAACAAAGACATTCAGAATTGTTTCTGGGCAAACAACAAAAGAGTTTGCTACGTAAATGAATCAAATGTCTCTTTGAACAGGATCCCTATTATTAATTACGTTCATAGATTTACTGTACGCCCTGATCATTCCCTCACCTTAACCATATTGTAGTTGCGATGTGTACATATTGTCCAAGGAAAGAATTTCAATATGTTGGCTTTAGACATTAAAACATTTTTAAAATGTTTTAATGTCTTTAAAAAAAAAAAAGAAAAGAAAAAAAAAGACATTTAAGACATTAAAACATTTGTGTTTTTTAAGTAATTTATGGTGTGGCAGATCCAGGGTCAGTTTTCTGCAACACATTTCTCAACATTTCCTCCCAGAAATTAAAAGTTGTGTGTAAGTTTTAGTGGCATCTACTGGTGAGGGTTATGAATTGCAACCAACCTCTGGTCACCGCTCACTCCTCCCTTTGAAAGCGCGCAGGAGAAGCTACGGTGGCCGACACGCTCTGTAATAATAATACGTGTGGCCCTCCATTAGTCCAAATTTCAGTGACGAAACACACTCTGTAGAGCAGTTTGTCCATTTGGGCTACTGTAGAAACATGACATGAGGACCTGCCGTGTATGTACATAGAAATGTCTCATTCTAAGGTAATAAAAATAATAACGGTTCATTATGTAAGGTCTTCACACACCACTGAAAACATAGTAATGGATATTATGTTGCATTTCTGCCAACAGATCCTCCTAAATATTAAACACTTGACCTTTAAGTTTATATACAACTGATTTGCAGCAGCTATGTTTTCCTTACAGCATCTGCTTGTGGCAACTACAGCACAATTAATGTTTTTCACGTTTTTGTGCAGTCTTTTAAAGCACACACACACACACACACACACACACACACACACACACACAGACATCCTTGACATGATGCATTCCCTTATCCTAACCTTAACCCAATTCTAACCTGAACCCCAAAACCAAGTCTTAACCCTCAAAGAGCCCTTTAAACTTGTGGGATCCAGCATTTTGGTCACACAAAGATGTCGGACCCCACAAGTATAGTGTTCTTCTTGTTATTGGAGCCCACGAATATACTAAAACAAGCCCCCACTCTCCGTCACACACACACACACACCTACACTCATGTTCATACGAATTCATCATTCAGTTCCCAGCAGGCTTCAGTCCTCTTGTTAATCCTTGTCACTATCGTCTTTCACCGCGGACGTGCACGAATGTTCGATCTGTAAATGCAACCACACACACATATGCACACACACACAGAGCGTATCATGCACTGCATCACTGCTCTCATCTCACCGTCGGTGTCTGTGGTAAATGGGATCACCCAGCAGAGATGTATTCTCACGGAGCAGGCCTGCGACTGTGTGTGCGTGTGTTTTAATGCGAGGATTGTGCCTGTGTATGAAGATAGGCTGGATCACTGCGTGGTCTAATTTCTCCGGGTGAGAGTGATAATCTGCTAGAGAGACAGATTGACAGCTGAGTACAGATCCATGAGCTCCAGCTGGGAAGCAAAGCCAACTGCATCCGGAGAGCAGCATGGAGCCGTTTCTATCGACCCACGCTGGCATTGTTTTGTTGTAAGTTGACTGTGAGTTAATAAAAACAATATAGATTCTCTTCTTCAGAACTCACTCATCTTGTAATTCGCCTTTCTCCCCTCATCACTTCACCTCCCCCGTTTCCTCTTCAGTTGCCATCCTCCTGTCGGCTCTCTCCTCTCGTTTTGTTTTGCCCTCCTATAACTTGTGAGTGAGAGGAGAGAAAGATGAAGCTGAGGGGGGAGACGGAGGAGATTGTTTCTTATGGTTGAGCAACTCCGGCCTTATTATACAACCAGATCCTCAGGCTTCAAACTTTTGAGAATAAGCATCAGAGAAAGACACAGAATGAAACAAGAAAAGAGAAATATATTTGTAAGGATTATTAAGATCTTAACGGTATTACTACTAATGGGATTATTACTACGATCTGGTACTTTAACAGTATTCTTTTAGTTAAATAAATAAAACAATTATTTACTGCATGAGTTTATGAACCACCCACAGCTAAACAATCAACTGGTTACTTTTAATCATGAACCCATGTGTGTATAATTTAGTGTGGGCTGCTCGCATACATACCTGACCCAGGCGGAGCACCGAGGAAGTACGAGCTGGGGTCGAAAACTGTATATGATGCTCTTTGGATAAATGTTTGGACAGATTACTCGTGTGTCCGTTCTAACAAGCAAAAGTCTGTCAGCGTCGACTCTGTGGAGGTGTAA